TAATATTTTTAAAAATAATAAATATTTAATAATTAAAAAATATTCAAAGAGAGGTAAGAGAAAAAAATTTCAAATTTTATTATTTAAAAATTTTTAAATTCTACAATTTAAAAAAAAAATTGTAATATAAATTTTTTTGTAAATTCTCTAATAAAAAAAATATTTCACCCTAATTCTTTAAAATTTTAAATTACTCAATACTCCATCGAAACACTCTGAATTAAAACTATAGAATAGATCTTGGATGAAAGTTATGCCAAAATTAAAATACAGACTTTCATTACATAAGAAAGACACTATTCAATATTAAAATTGGAAAAGGCTAAGAGTAAGCCAAGGGCAATAAGTAAGCCCTAAATAAGAAGATAAACTTAGATTCAAGGAAAGAAGCAAAGCAATTAATGGCCAATAATAAACCCAAAAGAAATTGAGTACAACAACCTAGGTCAAATCACCCGAAACAAAACTAAAAAACATTGGGCTTAGATTCCAACACAAATTAACAACTTATAATGTAAGCTTCCCCACCAGAGAGACCCTAAACTAGCACCCTTCCAAAGTGCAATGAAGGTCAGAAACTTAAGTAATCCAAGCAAGTGTATTTTAGGGGTGCTAGCTGCTAGTTACTTAAAATGTCAAAGACTATACGCATGTGTATTTATGGTATTCTTTCCCTCTGCATTGGGGTGCCATCATGATCAACATGTAACATTTTCAATCCAGTTGCTGCATTATTATTATTTTGTAAAGGTCCAAGTCATAGTATTGATTCTCTGTCTGGTTATTTTGGGTTTCTTCTTAGGGGTTCTCATTGATCGCACATGTATTCACATAAGCAGTTTTATGTTAGGACTGACCCCAATATAAAATTTTCTCATGACCTTATCACGTCAACATCTAACATGAGAAGATCTATTTCTTTCAATAAACTATGCTTCACTTATCTATGTTTATGACCTAGTCTCCATTACCAAAAATACCTTAAACATGAATCTATTAATGCGACTTGAGTACCAAATTCTGAATAAGGTATTAAATTGATGATATAACTTGCAAAACAAATGAGTTGAAGAACTTTTTTAAATATAGTACTAATGGAGATATACATATCAGTGCTTATGTGCCCTTAACCCAACGGTCAATTAATTAGGTGTTAGATTGTGTAACTAAAGCCAGTTACTCAGTTTTTTCTGATAAATGCTAACCGTGATTGTGTTGTATAAGTGTGAGGCTTTCAAAAGATAAAAACCCAACATTACATACTTTCACATGCTGTCAAGCTTTTATAAATTATCTTTTGTTTTAACTATACAAGCAAATTTTTATGTCTGCAAAAAAGTTTATTAAATATTTGGGCTCTTTTGGATCAATTGCCACAAATGTCTGATTTCTAAGACATTTATTTCCTTATACTCTTGTGTGTTTAGGCGGGAGGGAGAAAAACAAGAGAACTGAGTACTCTTCTACTTATGACAACTTCAAGAATATCTCATCCTAAATCCATTAGTTGTTGTTACTGAGGGTATACTTGCAGTCTGGTTATTAAAACACCAAATCCAAGTTTTGAAAAAGATTTAAAAATTAAGATTTAGTTTCACAGAAGTCAAAGAGGTGTAAGAAACATTAGGTAGCAAACTACTCTAATTTTAACGAAATAATAGAAAAGTAACATTATAGATAGGAAAAGATTTGAATGCAAAGGATTAACGAATTTAAAAACAATTTTTTTTAGCTACATTGAGATCAGCATAAGCTATTGTGAAATTTTCCAAAATAAAATCCAACAATTATAGCCAGCAACTGAAATTTTGCAAAGAGAACCCAACAACTACAGCAAGCATGACAATGGTATCATTGCCGATTTAACACAAATTCAAGGCATCATACAAGCAGCAGGAAAAGCATTTATGCTCATTATTGGACATAGCAAAACATGTCCTTACCTTGCTGCATATCAATAACTTGTTTGCTTCAGTTTCTGGAAGAAATTCTAATTAAATATCAATCACCAACAATATAAGACAAGTAAAAAAATTAGCATCATAACATCATTTATCTACAACAGTAATTATCAAGTCGCACAATCCATAATGATGGGCTCTGATATGAATTATCCATTATAGCATACACTATTTTTATTCCTCTCTGAACAACTTCCTAAATTGTTTATTATTCCACACTAGACATTATAGAATCTAATAAAATGCTAAAAAAAACATTATATAACAAGAGTTGGGCCTAAATTTGGTTTAAAGCTCATATAAGTTAGACAAGTAAAATTAATATACAATATAAAACAAAATACTTAATTGCGACCCTAGTAAAGTTGATATAAAAAAAAATTGTATCAAAATATGACTAAGACACATAAAAGTCATTACATAACAAATTTGAAATTAAATACGTCATTGCCAGTGAAAGTTATTAAAATCTAATCTAATTCTGAACATTAGGCCTATCTTTGCTTAAGGGGCAATAACAGTCATTAGAGAACAAAAAACTGGAAGTTAAATTGAAATTATAAGTTATAACTCGAGAAATATACTTACCGTTTCCATTTAAAATAACAAAATCTGGACAAGGGACCATGTAAATCATGAGAATAAAAAAATTGAAACTGATTGTACCATTTTAAAAATAAATAAAAAAATTTGGGCTTAAATTTTATTAGGGGCTATATAGAATATAACTAGACATCAATTTGTTAATGGACCATAAAATAATCTAGACCAAAGCCTGAAAATGGATGATAATAGACAATAAAGGGCGCAAACTTGATAAGGACCATATATAAAAAATCTTGAAACTTCATTGGACAGGGGTCGCGCGAACGCAGACCCCCTCAACCACAAATTATGATGTAGGCTCTCCCACTTGGGGAGACCTTAGGGTAGCACCCCTCCTAAGTGCAATGGAAGTTACCAACCTAGGCCATGAACCTTCCTGATCGTCCATAGACCCCATCCAGGTAAGTATGTTCAAATGTAGCTAGTTGTCCCGTATTTAAACTACATCAACACTTTGCGCATGTATATCGTTAACGATGTGGGACTACTAGACCGACTTAGTCAATTCCTCATTATTGCTTCTCTGTGTCAATTTCGAAAACTGGATAGTAAATGCTAACAAACAGGAATTTGCTCTCCTTCTTAAGCTAGTTTTCTAGTTCAAATACAGAAAATTCTATTTAATCTACCCTGGATCCAACGAATAAGGGTGGAAAAAAAATAAAATGAGGAAGAATGTGTTGGATTGTTGAGTTAAGCAGCATCTTATATCTGGGAACAAATTAGTTATCTCTGATATAATTTAAATTCAAATCTTAGTTATCTTACATTTCTGTTATATCTAAGTCTTAACAACAGCAAAGCATCCCTGCGTCTCTATATCTTTCTCCTTAACGATGCAAAGAATATTGAATCTATGAAATAATCGTTAACTATGATCGTACTTTGAGTTAAACATATGAAATTAAAGTAAGATCATATATGTTACCATAAAGAGGGAGTTTGGAGATGTAATGTAACATTGCAAGATCAATGGAGTTGAACCAACCAGCTTTCGAACCTAGAGAACATGAAATATAAATGCAGCTGGTTAAGTTCAAATTCAACACCCCCTACTAGTTGGCTTGTTGCATAGTCGCGAACATCATAGAAGTTAACGACTTAATTTGCATAAGATAATATATACATCCAACCCAAGCAAGTGTTTAAAAAAAATATAATTAAATATCAATATCAACAACAAAGGACGAGAAGAATAAATAACACCCGAATAAAGAGATCAACTTAAAGATAATTTTGTTTTAATTTGGTGTATAAATTGCTACATCAAAGATGCTGCTCTGCGCTTCTATATCACTCAAGTAAGCAATAATACAATGTTATGAGCTGAATTAGCAGGGAAGTTTGGTTCATGCAGGTAAAGTTGGTAGTTCTGATCGGTGTGGGACTAAGAATATAAGTTTGCTTAAATATTCTTGTATTTCATCTGTTCCATCTCTATTCTCATTTTTCCAAAAAAATAAAAAATAAAAAATACTCATAACAATTGATAGCCCCTATTCTTATTTCTCCAAAAAAAAAAAAAAGCATAGTAATTGATAGCATTTCCCCTCTTAATATAAACTAATCCAAACAAAATTAATCTAACTCCTTGAACTCTTCTCGTATGGTGAAAGGAGTAGATCATGTACTTCCTGTTATGAGGATTCCAGTATGCACCCACTACTAAATAGCACGAAAATGATGTGCATTTTTTTAGAACTTCTGGTTTTCCAGCTAGCATATTTGCTTATTTCTTTGAAGGTATGATATAAGACAATACTCCAACTTTTCTTCAAGGTGTTGATTTTCTTAACAATCTTGTTTCTACGGTTCTGTTTCTTTGCATCCCTCAATGACCTATGGTTCTTCCTTTTGATTGTTGTCTAATAGGAACAAGGTAAATTGTGGGTTCATGGTCTACCAAGTAAGGATGTAGCAAGACTCTATTTAAATACAAATTTAGAAGCGATTTTCAGAGTTTTTTTTTATAAAAAAAAATACTTTATATTTGTAGTAAAGGAATTCTCAAAGATGTTTCTAATTAAATCAAAACTAATTCCAATTTATATTAGAAATTATGATAAAATGTGTGATTAATACTAGAAGTATCCTTGCTTTTTTACTATGTATTAAAAAAAAAGTGTGAAAAAGTGTATGAAAATAAAGTGGAAATAAAACTTGTTTGTTAAGAAGAAAATAGAAGGGAAATAAAGTAGAAGTTGATTATTTTTATAGATATGTTATTTAAAAAATAAATAAATAAGTTATTATTATTTAAATAAATAAAAAAATGTATTTTTATAAATTATTTTATTTAAACATAATAAATATTTTTATCCTATTTATTTATTATAGTTATATTATTTTAAATAAATAAATATAATATTGATAAATAAATTTATTTTAAAATATAAATGAAAGTTGTATTTTATTATTATATTTAATTTTTATTGTTATTATTTCTACTTTATTGTATATATGACATAATCATCCCTTTTATTTTAAATATGATAAATAAAAATATATTATTGTTATTATCTCATTAACTTTTCAGTTTTCACACTCTTTTTTTTTTTTTTAGAAATTCTATGGTATCCATCTTATTTGAGAGGGTACTGGTACAGTTTTTTTATATTTTATATTTTTAATAATTTATTTAAATAATATTTATGATATTTTATTTTTTTAATTTTTAAATTATTTAGTCATTTTATTTTATTTTATATATTATATTTTAATTTTAATAATTTTTTAAGTATATTTTTTGTCTTTTTGTCTTAAATTTTTGAATTTCTATATTGTAATTTTAATAATTTTTTATTTTTACTATTTATTAATTTTTTTTATTTTTTTCTAATATTTTATAATATTATTGAAATCTTATAATTATAATCTCTATAATTTTATCTTACTTTTTATTTTATAAATATAATTTAGGTTATTCATTTTATAATTAAATTATTTTTTTTTTAAATATTTTATAAATTTACGTAAAAAAATATATTGAAACCCCTCGATCATTGAGGCGTAGCAACTCCCCTTTTTTTTTTTTCTTTCCTTACTCTTCTCTTTTACTTCTCCTTTCCCAAACACACCCTAAAAAAGAAGCTACATCTTTTTCAATTGATTCACCCACCTCTCCCTCTTCGTCACCTCCCTCAACTTCCACTCCACCATCCGCCTCCTCAACCGCACCATTAGCCCATACCCCGCCCCCGTCCACGTTTGGACATTGCTCATCTAGAAGTGAAAGGAGGACACTTGTAGAAGATGAGAGAATTTTGGGAGAGAGAAATTCATTAAAAGTTATGTTATGTGTATGTAATATAGAAAGATTGATGTAACATTTGTTTAACTTTTAACTTTTAAAGATTGTTGTAATATGAATATGTAACATTTCTTTAACTTTTAAAGAATGGTCTAAATTATAAAGGTATATCAATCATAATCTTTAAAAAATAAAGGAGATATGGGTATAATTTATTCAAATCAAAGTAATAATAAAATTCAAACTAAAGTCCATATTAAAATTATTTTAATGTTATCTTAAAACTTATTCGATTATATATATAACTATTTAATTCATTTGTTTAAATTTTTTTAATAAAATAAATATTTCTTTTACTTTTTCAGCGTGTTTGTCCAAAATGTTCACTTTAAAATAAACAATTGTCTGTTATTTTGTAAGAAGAAAATTATATTTAAACCAATTATTTATTAATTTAGAAATATTTTTTAAAAAATAAAAGCAGGGCAGAGGAGAGATTCCGAGAGAACAGTTCTCTCTCATTTCATTTGAATTCGAGAGGAGAATGTTTTGTGATGATCTTCACAAAAATAACTTTTTTCCTTCTTATTTCTTCCCTGGTAGGAATTTAGTAATTTTATTTATTTATTTCTCTTCTAATTCTTCTGGTCTGTTTTTCCCAAAAATAAAGAAGGGGGTAAATAAGAACGAGTGTTAGACAATATTAAAGTATTCATTTCCATAAATTTTTCTCGTCGTGCGAAGTATATTAGTGATATCGGATCCAAGCCTGCGTTAATTCGAGACAGACATGAACCTAACAACCCTCCCCTCTCCCTCTCCCTCTCCCCATAGAAAGAAGAAGAAGAAAATGCATGGAGAGAATAGGACGATTAAATGAGATGATGAGATTCGTCGTCAAATCTCGCTAAAAATAGTATTACCATTACGAAAAAATTTGCTTTCACACATTATCCTGTGCAGGTGCTTTCCCGGAGGAAGATCAACGTAAATATGTAATTAAACCCAACTAACCGAAGCATCACAATTAACCAAAAAAAAGAGTGGTTATACATCCACAAAACATGAAAACAGACTCGGATGCCCAGGGACAAGAAGGATATCAATTTCAATTGGTTTCATGACATACAGGCCAACTTTGCACCACAACCATATGCATTAATTCCAATAATAAAAAAATGAAAGACCCCTCTGTGTATATAGACAAATACCAACTTTTAGTTAATAAACCAAGTTTAGATAGTGTCTCAACTCTCTCGTAAATAGGAGAACGTTATCACAGTAGTTTGCTTAGGTCTGCTAGAAGATGCGCATATAATAGAAAGGCAACTAATAGGAGTCCGACCATGTAACTAACCATTTTGAACAAATGCTTCTGGCATGGCATCCATGAGCTACTTTTTCTTCCCCAGTTTGCTAATCAATTAAGCACTTCCTATGCTTGAGTGTGAGGTCATCTTCGCCTAACGACCATTGCCAAATATACCTTAAACCCGAATCTGCTAATGCAACTTTAGTACCAAATCCTGAATCCCGTAGATGTATTAAAATGATTATATATATCAGTAAAAAAAAAAAAAATTGAAGCATTTTGATTTTTGAAACATGAGTACAGATATTTTCTTATTCTCTTGCCTGTTTAGGCAGTAGCAACGTAAAGAAGAGAACTAACTATTTGTTCTGCAAAAAGAAAAACTAACTACTCTTCAACTGAACAAAAATATTCTGTTTGGTTCTGCCTATGACCACCTCAAAAATCAGAAAGCTAAATAAAATCACGCAATTTTTCAGCAAAATCTCTCTTCCTAAAATCAGCTTACTGTGGGCATGCTTAGAGTCTACTGCATTGGGCAGTCATATCTGAACTGAATAAAACAGGGTATTACTGCAGATAAATTCAGGCATGTGTGTTGATCTCTATAACAGATCAGGCTTCCTTGCAGTTTAGCATTTAACCTCAGAATTCCTTCAATCCTTTCCGCAGCACCTTCATAAATAAATATGAGGAGCATAAGGTGATCAATTTCAAAAAACTTTTTATAAAGATTCTGAATTTTTGGGGAGATAACAAAGTCATTTACTATTTCGATAGAAAAGAGTGAGAAATGCCAAAGAGTTTACTGTTTACAAATAGAGACACAGTAGTTTTCACACTTATACATATTAAAACACCAAATCCAGTTTTTGAAAAAGATTAAACAAACTGAGTAAGATTTAGTTTCACTAGAGCTGATAGAGATGTAAAAAATAAAAAGGCATGAGGTGGCAAAGTGAGCAAAATACTCTAATGTCCAATGAAATAATAAAGTCGTAAACTATAGGTACTAAGGATTTTGCAAAAAAATCTTTTAGCCATGTATACATATATTTTTAAGTTCAACACCTCAGTCATTATTTTAGCCAAGAAGGCAAGAACTGCATCAAGCATGGACAGACAGTGATATTTCACTTATTTAATTGAAGAACAAGTAAATACCACAAGACAGAAAAAATAATCAGGAATCAGTTTGGTATCTAAGAATTTTTTTAGAAAAAGATAAGGGGAGAAAATAACCTTTTATATCTCTTCTTCGAACCACATGGACAGAATGCATTCCTGCTAACTTGTCCAGCTTGGGCTAAATTAGACCTTGCAAGATCCAATGGAGTTGAACCAACCAGCTTTTGGACCTAGGGAACATGAAATATATAGTAGAGCTCGTTAAACTCAAATTCAACCCCCCAAGATATCACACATTGATAAAGACATCAACATTTAGATACTTTGTTTTTATTTGGAGCATGGTGCTATACAATACACTGCTCACACAACATAAGCCAAAATCAAGGAAGCAGTTCTGAATTCTGATGGATCTACAGTATAATCCTGAAATTCTGCTATCCCATTCAAGAAGCCAGTAATTACTTTAATATTAAAATCACTGGAAACAAACTATGGACCTCACCCAAGATACTGGCTAGGCTAGAGCACCCAAATTGTGCTGCTACTGATACCAAAACCCTAAATGTCAAGATAAAATTGCCCAATCAAAATCTATTTTCAAGTAGAACTAGTAAGACAAAAGAAAAGGGTAAGTTTTCAATGAAGCATTCACCAAACTAAAATTTCTTAAAAAGATGATTCATTGAGCCCAACTAGGTTGTAAGGAATTAACGCAACAACAATGGGAAGCATTACTTCATCAAAGCTTTTCGGCATTGGTTTTCCTTCTTCTTGTAACTTCTCTATCTTCTTTTGTGCTTCTTTGGCCCAAGTAAACTTTGCAAGTGCATTCTCAACATCAGCAATCGTGCAGTTACAATGTTTTGCCGCTTCTTGTTTTTGAGCAGTCTGGAGATTCTGAGAACATAGGGATAAAAAAACACGAGAAGTCATTTTCCTAATAAAAGCCAGAAACAGGCTGTGTTTAGATAAATTTCTAAATAAATACGTATAAAAGAAGAAAAATAAGAATGAAAAATGAATTGAGTTTCTCCAATGAGTTACAATCAACTTATGCACATCATTTTTTTGTTTTTTTAAATGAGAGCTTCTATAAAAGTTAAGTGCATAAATTCAATTCATTTATCAATATCAAAATCAATAAATAAGAGAGTTTCTTCTATAAGTGCATAAATGAGAGGGGTGTACACTTCACAAACGCAAATTAATCTGTCAGCTTGGAATACTACATGACTATGTCCATGAGAGGGGGCGTTTACTTTCTTATTTTTTCCTACTTTCAGTGCTTACAAAGAAGTTTTTCAAAACCAATAAATAAACAAACCACTACTGAAAATTATAACGCAAGTAAATTATAGAGCATTATTTTGAAGCATGAATTTGTCTATAAACCTCTCCAGTGGGATCCAAAGCCCCGAGATATCGAATTATGGCTTCGTATCTCTCAAAGGCGGTGGTAAAAGTGACTTCGCTGCTTCGTCCAACCATGTAATCCTTAAACGCCCCTATTCTTCTCGCATTCTTCATTTCATCCGCAAAACCTGTGACCAATATCATAAACCATAGATTAACAAAATGTTCAGAAAGAAAAATAAAAAATAAAAAATAGAGCGAAATTGGGATTGAAGGAAACTGACGGAGCAAAGTGAATGAATCGGAGGCGTCTCCCTGGGACTGGGTGGTGCTCTTTTGGCCCGTCATGACATTTTTGACCTTCTCCATCCATGAACCTTGCAACGGTGCCGTGGAGGAGATTGTTCGGAACTGGTAATTGCACTTATGGTTTACCGAATGGAGAATTTTGCTTACGATGCGAAGTGCAGACATTGAATCCTTGAGTTAAATGGTTGGTTACTCTTTCTTTCTCTCCAACTTGTGCACTCTTCAATGGCTGCTACTCAGCACGAGGTTAGAATTGCCCTCGGAATTGAAATGACACGTTAGGCTCAATGCGACGTCGTTTAATACATTACGTCCTGAAAATTTAATTAAAATCAAATTAAAAATATATTTTTGAATTCTTAATTTTTAAGACTTTTGTAATTGAATCTAGTTTAATTGTTAAAAAAAGACTACGGATTTGTGACAGTTTTAAAAATTTCATAAACTTAATTACAAAAGTTATAACAAATTATAATTTTAACTACAACTTTTGTATAAGATCAAAATTTGTTGACATCAAATAGCAATGTGACATCTTCAATAACATTTTTAGAATAAAAATTTAATAAATTTAATCATTGTGTTTAATGTTGTTTATTTATTAAATTAAGTGTATAAAATTTCATTCAAAATTATATGATAGTTGATCAAACATTTTTACATAAAATGTGATATTTAAAATATATAAATATTCATTATTAAATAACTTATTTAGAAGAGTCTAATGAAATTTAATATACAATATATAAGTATAAGAGTTAATCACTTATATATTGTTAGTGTAAATTTTTTTAATAAAAAATAATTTAATTATTGATTTTTGTGATATTATACTTATTTATAGTGACATAACATAATTAAAAGATATAATTGGTTGGCAGTATAAAAAAATTTTACACTGACAATATATAAGTGATTAATTCTAAGCATAATATCACAAAATTTAATAATTAAACTATTTTTTAATAAAAAAATATTTAAAGTGTAATATTCCTGATTTTAACGCATGTCATTGGCGGGTATTAATACTTATTTATATTTTAGATGCTTAATTAAAAACTCTCAAATAATTTAAGGTGTTGGTGTATTTAATCTTTTCACAGAGAAAATAACTTGTTTGTTCTAACGTAATACTTTTAATTTATTAATTAGCCGCCAACAAAAAATCATTGGATTTGACTTAAAAATATAGTAAAGAAAGAAAAAATATATATATATATATAATTATTAATTAAAATCAACATTTAAAATTGTAGTAACTTCAAAATTTGTAATAGTAACTTATTATACTATTGATAGTTAATATTGTAAATGATATTTATTAGGATTAAATTCATTTTTAGTTCTTTAGTTTTACAAATATGCGATTTTAATTCCTATAAATTTTGTAATGTACATTTTTTTTTTTTAAATTAAATAATGTTGATCCATCATTAATTTAACATTTAAAATAAAATGAAAAATATTAACATATTTTTATTTATACATAATGACATGTAATAGACAATCATTTTAAGTTATCATCGATTATTTTGATTGTTTAGAATTATATAAGTTATCGACAACAAAAATATTTTTCATAATAGTCAATTATCCACCAAAATAATTAATTAGTATGGTTGTTGATGATTTTCTATAAATTTAAACCATCAAAATTAATTGAATAAATCTTAATATAATTTATTATTCCTTGTCTTTGTGTGAATGATAGGCACACTAACATTTTTTTTTGTTTATTTTAAATGTCAATATAATGATAGATTAATATTGTTTAATTTTGAAAATTTAAAGGACAAAATGTGCAATAAAAAATTTAAAGGGAGTAAAATTGTACATGTGTGAAACCAGGAAAACTAAGGCAGTTTTAAACCTATTTTATTGATATAGTTTATTCTCGAAATTGTAATTCTTCATTTTAAGTGAGTAAAAAAAATACCCAAATGGGTTTAGCCTAGTGGAGGCATGTTAGGTTCATAAGGAAGTTCTTGGCTTGATTTCAATGAAAAACATTCCCTTAAAAGGGGATAAAGAATTGTGAAATTTATTTTTCCACGACTTTTTTCCAACAAATAAAAACATGACTAAAAAATTAACACGATAGTTTAAGATAACTCATATTAATTGGGTTTATTTTCGTATATTAAATATAATTTAATATGATTATTTTTCAAAATAACAAAGTGATTCATGAAACTTTAAATACATAAGTTAAGTATTCATTTAATAGAATATAAATATATTTTTAACTATCACAATATTATAATAATTATTCAATGGTGTTTTTTTGAGGTTTTTGTTTTCTCTACAAGCTTTTCCTATGATGTTGAGCATCTAACAACTTTTTGTTATGTCTTTTTGAAATAAAGTGTGTGCAAAACCTTCTTCGTCGTCCATAAGAGATGAACAAATTATTTGCAACACTACACTCTAAGGATTTTGTGATTAGTGTCTTAGGTAGATAAAACAATATTTACTCTTTGAAACCCATGCGCTTAGTGTGATTGTGGCCACACTCAACACCCACTCGCGTAACTTTTCTCTATCAAATGACACTCAACAGTGTTGGCATGTGCATTTAACATCCACCTTCAAATAGCTCATTCAAAAGGTCTAAGCTTAACATGGTTTCATTAACACTTAGTGCCCTTAAGATAGTGTCACAAGTTCCTAAGGGTTGGCATGTTCAACGTGTCAATTCCCACACTTAGCAAATGACATATTTTGCATCTATACAATCCATGAAAAACACAACTATTAAGGGTTTAACATAACTAAATTTGTTATATCTTACATGATTATAAATTCTAATACTAGTTTAAGGGTTTTGACTTGATCTTGTTCTAATTATGAATTAAATTTATTACCTAGCTCATCCTAAATGATTTTATTGCTCAAATGATTCAAAATGTCTTTTTCACAATTATTTCGTCAAGACTAAACCAAAACTGTGGAACTGATGGAAACTTGTTTGAAAAATCCGGATTGATGTGAATCCTCTTCTTGGTCTTACCTCTTCCAAAGGGATCATTGGGGATTAGATTTCCATCAGGAACATACTCAACATTCAATACACAAGATGAAGTCAAAAAAATATAGTTCAACGTTGTTAACAACCAAAAAACTAACAATAATGATTAATTCAACCCATATATTAAGAGGCACACACAAAATCTATGGAGTTTAGAGTCAACCCCTCTACCCACAACACATACTATATTCATGAGTGAGACAACTTACTCTTTTTTACCTGGATAAGTAAACTCCAAGCAAGGATGTAAGAAAAGTCAGCAACAACAATACCTCCTTAAGGTCCTTCTCCATGTCCACAACCCTATGATAGAGTTTCAAGATGGTAAGAGAGCAAATTAGGTTTAGACCTAACATGCTCCAAATTATATAAAAAAGAAACACATTGAATTTATAAGGACTGAAATCCAATCGTTATAGAATTTTATTTCATAACTCTTTTTTTTTAAATTAATTTTTTTATCACAAAAAAACAATTTCAACCCATATATTTTTCGAAGTCTTTATTTTATTCAAACCAATAATTTTTATTTTTATTTTTGTAAACTAGGATGTTACAACAATCACTTTGGAGCACGCAATGTACAATTATCAACTAGGAGGTAACCACACTAAAATCTTCACAAGTAAGCTGGTTATTAAGGTGCATTAATGATGAGAGAGAATGAGAAACCGGAGATAATTATTAAGACAAAACTCAAGTATAATATCATAAATATTGTTAGTTTTGTTTTTCAATTAAAAATTGAGTTTACCTTGATAATATGTATAAATGTACATTACTAAGGTTTGCATTAGATATAAATGCATATTATCAAGGTAAAATTTAATTTTTGATTGAAAAATAACACCAACAATATATTTAAGTTTTGTCCTATTTATTATTCTTAATAACCATAGGGAGAATAAAAATTATAACAAAAATATTTTTGAGTTGCACAAAGAATGATTAGTAGTCAAAAGAAACAAAGAAGGTAATAAATGTCAAATTAACTCAAGACCTACATATGAACATAATAATATGTAGGTGATAAAATAATTTGGCCATAAATACTCGTAATGTTGAAATGTTGGAAAATGTTGATGACAAAAATTATAAGTGGCTTGCATAAAACTTTTAAGTACAAAATTATTACAATATTTGTTGATCTTATGAAAACTCACAATGGTCTAGAGTAAATTATTAGTAACTCGATAATATGTTTGTATTACCCTTCAAAAATTTGTCACCAACTTATTAAATTCATTGATTTAAATTTCAAGTTCCTTTTTAAATACCTAATATATCTTTATCGTAACTTAATTGTATTAGAAGAAAATGCCATCATTATGACACATTAGATTTTAATTAAGGAGTTTCATTTTAGTCAAAGTCAACACAAACCTCCTAAATACAAAAACAACAAGTTAAGAATAATAAAAAATGATATTAACCAAATATTTTAGTTTCAAGTATAAAATTACATACTTATTTTAAGTAATTAATTATTTTTATATTATCACTATAAGTTAGTAAATAAAACAATTTTTTCCCAATAATGTTAAAAAGTAATAAATAAGTGAGTTGGTACATTAATATGATTAGGATATAATCTAAATAAATATAATTGAATAAATTTTTATCCAAACGTGTATATTTCTCACCATTAAAATACATTGCATTTCTCACAAGTTTCAAACATTCACATTTAAAATACTATTTTTTTAATAATTTTTAATATAATTTTACTTTATTAAACAATTAAAATTTTACTTATAATTCTTATATTTTTTTTTATTAAATCAATTATCACATATTCCCTCCTATTATTTCTATTTCCTTCCCCCAAACAAAGTGTACATAGTATATCTATAAAATTAGAGATGATCCTCAATACAGTTTCAACGACTTTAAATATGATAAAAAAAAAATATTTAAAGAAACATGACTATAGTTTATACACGCATGAGCAAAAGCGGTTTTTTTGACATCAACAAAAATGAATATTAAATATTCAAACAAATCAAATTACTAAAAATATATTTTTTGAAACGATAAGAAAGTTTGTGAACAAACGAAACAGACAATGCATATTTTAGGAGTTAATTCGATTAATTAACTTACTAATCATGGATGATGAGCATATGAAATCCATTTGTTTTTCTATGTATTTCACCCTTTTCCTTATTTCATTAATACATTATTTATCCTTTATAATAAGATTTTCTTCGTGCTCATCTAGAAATAAAAAACAGACAACCCGTTTGAAAGTCTTGGTTCCCCATATTGTGTTGTGTCTGATTGTTAAATGTTAATCATGATCGGGCACAGCTGGGTTATTAGTTATTACCTCCTCTCTATAGTCTTGGTTTTGGTTTATCTTTCCTTAAAGTGTAAAGACCATTTTGCCCTCACTCAAACGGGTCAAAGGATCTACCGGAATAAATCTGGACACCCACATTCGCTTACACCCACGTTCGCTGCCCTCTCTCCCAAACCCACTTTCTCTCTCTAAAGTTGAAACTTCGCTACTGCAACAAAACACAAGCACTAAAAGTGCTTCCAATTCGTCACTCATCACGGTTTGTTCCTCGCCTTTTTCTTCCACTGTTCCATCTTCGCCTCATCCAACTCGATTTCCTTTTCTTCGATTATTTCCTGCTTTCGATTCCGTAAAAGAATAATTTATCGCATCTTATATAATTAGTCTGTTTTAGCTAATACTTCGTTGCAAAGCGCTTAACCTTATGATCGGGCTTCTTAATTTCTGCCAAGGGTTATGTTTTCGTTTTCCGACCCTTTTTTTTTTCTCTCTCTCGTTCTTCGTTTGCGTTATTTGTGTATCGGGATGATTTTGGGGGTTCGATACTGTCAGCGGGTTCGGTCTGTTGTGGCTTATAGGTGTGCGTTTGGCTATTGATTACGTAGCTTTGAGTTTTTGATTTGATTCGCATTGAGTCTTCGGTGCGTTTCATATGTGATTTTGTTTTGACTCGTGATTTAGGCAGTACATAAAGAACGGGTTTGAACTTGGCCTGGATTCTGAGGTTAGCATGGAATTGTTGTAAGAAACGACGTAGTTGATTAGGGAGGAGGAGTTGTAGATTTTAGTATCAGTAGTGTATTGGGGAGACTAAGGTGCATCTCATGTAATGGCAGAAGTTATTTGATAATGATTAGCTATTGTTACAGAGAATTCTAAATTCTTAACTTAGTGGGTCGTCTGGATAGACTGGCTGAGCACAGCAAGCGCCCACGTGACCACGCCTTAGGCTTTGCGCTTGAGGGGCTGTGTAATTAGCTACTGTCACAGAGAATTCTTAGTGATAGTAACCGTCCCGACAGACTGGCTGGGCATGTAAGCAGCCGACCAAAGTATAGAGAGTTAAAGCTGACCCCATGTAAGGACAACCAAAGCCGAGTAGACCATGACCGTTGACCAACCAAACACAATGTTGTTGGGGGCCAGTATAGCCCACAAGCTCAAGGCGGATGAGCCCAAGACAGAGGTATGGTGCGGTAAGCACCACCCTTCTCACACGTGAGAACAACACCATACGTGCTACCCCTGCTAAAGGTGGGAATGGTTACGCGACCGATAGAGAACATGCTGCATAAATAGGCATGGTACACCATCATGCCAGGTCACGCATAATATAACTCACCGAGGTTTCGCAGATGTTTCTGGAGTCTCTCTGGCTATTGAACTCTTCAGGGTGTGTTCTCTTGTGTGAAAAGCTAGTTTGTACGGGCTCATATGTTGTACAGTTATGCCTAATGCTGCTCTATATATGGTTTCTGTGGAAGTGAAAGTGTTTGGATGTGTCTGTCTTCAACTGTGACCTTGAGAGAGTTTTTCTGTACTGCAAAACTTCTTTTGTAAAATAAATGGTCATAATTCATAAAGTACTTGATCTGATTTTTAATTTTTTTTTGACACTGTTGGAAATGCTCCCAAGTAAAACTCCCGATATGGATTTATTTTCTCAATTTAATCCTGGGATTATTATTTAAGATATGCAATTTATGTGCTAAACAGTTTCTGCGATGCACCGCGTGGGTAGTGCGAGTAATGGAAACAGTTCAACTCGCCCTCGTAAGGAGAAGAGATTAACCTACGTCTTGAATGATTCTGATGACACCAAGGTGAACTCATTATTTATTTATTTTAATTGTTCCAGGGAAAAGACAAGTTTCATGCTAGCCTCTAGTAGTTGCATTATCTCTACAAAAAATTTCTTTGACATTGTGCATCCAAATCTGTGAACTAGTTGAACCTGTTTGAGTTGTTTTTTAATAAACACATGCATTTCTTACTTGGATGGAAATATTATTTAAATTTTACAGTGAAATCCCATGTTGGACCTCAAAAGATTTATATTTTAAACTCAAATTTCCCCTCAAAAGATTAGTGGCATCAAATTGTGCTCTAATGATAATATTTGGTTATTAACTGACATCAATTTTGTCCTATTAAATAGCATTTGGACTCATTTGAAGTTGAAACCTGTCATTTGAGGATCAAATGAATGTTATAACCTTTTGAGGACCAAATTGATATTCCAAAGATCTTACAAAGATCAAAATGGAGGTTTACCCTAAATTTTAATATTTTTTTTAACATTGACTTAGATATTTGGTGGTTAGCGTATTTCCACCATTTCTTTTTTAATATTTACCCTATATTTTACTTTGTAATCAATCAAAGCTTCATCAATAGTTCATATAGTATTTGGTTCCTTTCTTTTAGGTACATTGCATTTTGCTATGGAAGGTGTTATGTCATAGTTTTTTTTCCCCATCATTTGTAAGTTGGCTTTTTTTCTGCAGCATTGTGCAGGCATAAATTGTCTGGCTCTACTTGCATCTGCAGCATCTGATGGGTCTGATTATCTCTTCACTGGGAGCCGTGATGGCAGGCTAAAACGATGGCTATTAGATGTTGATAGAGCAACATGCTCCGCTACCTTTGAATCTCATGTCGATTGGGTATTCCTGTTGTTCACTTTTTCTCCCTTTCCATTCGTTAGTTGACTTCTAATTTAGTAACTTCTGGAACGTAACAATGTTTTTTTACCATGGTTACTTGATGAAGCTTCATCTGCGCTCTCCCCGTTTTTTTTTGGTCTTTTCACTCACATGGGATTTGGGTTGGCTTATGTTAGTTAATAATGCAATTTTTTTTTTACAACTTTGTTGTCTAATCCCAATGGTGAGGTCAAAAGGTGTAAAAAGGTATATGGTGTAACAGAGGAAAGCTTTTTACCATGCTGTGTAAAACATGTCTCATTCTAGGGATCTTGCCATCTTGGTTACTATTATGTGGGGCCTGTGTGTGATATTTTGATTAAGATGAGTTTTTAAGTTTTTCATCAGCCAAAGGAGGTCTGTAATGGTCTGAATTTGATATTGCCTTTTATTTATTTTATTTTGTTGAGTACTTCATCAGACATTCTTTCATGCAGTATGTAATGATTTGTTGTGTTCTTTTGGTGATAAAGTTTAATGAGCTTGATTCTAATAGAAAAGGTACGGTTGAGAAGGATAAGGCAATGGAAACCCATTGGATTCTCTTGTTCAAAAATTCTAAAACTGCAAGTGCAAGTGTGCAACTGAATTTAATTGAGTATTGTATTGTGTGAGATAAAGTTATCACTTCATTCTTTAACAGTTGCTGTTTGTCTTGTTTCCTTCTTTTATATGTAAAATTCATAATATCCTTTAGTATCTCCTGCACATTTTGTCCTTTAAGATATCCCTTTTTTGTTCAATTAATTTAAGTTACTAAAAATTTTTGCAATCCTTTTTAACTTATCATAATTCCTCAACTTTATGTTTTCCCCTTAAGTCCAAAACTCTGTTTAATTAGCATTTAAGTTATACCATAAAGCATGATGCTTGCACAATCTATGACACTTGCATAAAAGCATAAGTACAATTGAAAATGTAAATGTTATTTTATCCTTGCAGGTTAATGATGCTGTTCTTGTTGGGGATAGTACACTTGTTTCGTGTTCTTCAGATACAACTCTTAAGGTTTGTTGAATGCTAGCTGGCTTTTTTCCTCTCCAACCAATCCTTGCTCTTCTGCAACAATACCAGTACTTACACAATTATTTACACCTTTTTATATGTGTTAGACATGGAATGCATTGTCCATTGGAACTTGTACTAGGACACTTCGACAACACACTGACTACGTTACTTGCCTCGCAGCAGCAGGAAAAAATGTAATGTACTTCAAACATCTTAGTATTCTTGTTAAGTGCATCAAGAAAAAGTTCAATTTATTGTTTCTATATGTTCCACATTGAATCAGATAGTTACTTTGATTGAATTATCAATGTCAAATCCATTTTTTGATCTTTTAATAGTGTCATGCATTTTAGAGCAATATTGTTGCCTCTGGTGGCCTTGGCGGGGAGGTGTTTATATGGGATGTTGAGGCTGCCCTTGCTCCAGTCTCTAAGTGCAATGACCCTATGGTTGATGAATCTTCAAATGCTGTTAATGGTTCTGGCAATTTACTACCATTAACAAGCTTGCGTACTATTAACTCAAGCAACAATATGTCCATGCACACTACTCAAACTCAGGGATACACTCCAATTGCTGCCAAAGGCCATAAGGATTCTGTTTATGCATTGGGTATGAACGAAAGTGGAACAATTCTTGTCTCTGGTGGAACAGAAAAGGTACAATATGGCATTTGCTTTGACTTGTCAAGGCTTCTTTACCTTTGAAACGTTTGAGGTGGATTGTTTGTGCTGTAGTATCTTGATGTGATGTTGTCTCTGACCATGATTCATTTCTTCTTCTATGTTTTTGGGGTTCTGTAGGTTGTGCGTGTCTGGGACACAAGATCAGGATCCAAGACTCTAAAGCTAAGAGGGCATACAGATAACATCCGGGCTCTGCTTCTGGATTCTAGTGGCAGGTTTGTGGAGCGGATATCTAAGTTTAGTTGCAGTTTTTCAGTTTACGATTATATTTTAAAATCGGTAACTTACTTTGCCTCCTATTTATTTACAACTTATTTATTATCATAAAATTCTTTCTTTCTTTCTCTTTGCATTGATCTTTCTCATTTGACATTTTTTTGTTTTCCCGCAAGATATAGATAACAACGCAGATGAAGAACTTAATACTATCATCGGCAATGTTATAGTGGACTTATTTAATAGTCATTAATACAGTGAATGAAATGCTGTTGGGTTTTCTTTCCAACTAGAATTTTAGCCTATGCAATGCACAAATATGTTTATTATATATAATTAAAATTTATAATAAATTATATATATATGTATATATATAAATAAATACCATTTTGAATATATAAATTTATTTAAAATTTGTATAAATAGATATTTTTAAATATATAAATTAGGCTTAAATATGTTTTTTAGCTTCCCAAATTTAAGGTAAATTTATTTTTAGTTTCTCAAATTTAAAACTGGTCTTTTTAGTTCTTGTAATTTCAAAAAATCTTGTTTTAGTCCTTCTACTCAAATTTTGTTAGTGAATCTGTCAAATACTATCGTATAAAATTTACCTACTGTGTCCCTATTTGTGAAAACATCACATTAAATTTAGCTGATACTACATAATTGTCTCAATTTGTCACTTTCATATATGCTACTAGTATCTTAAGGGACTAAAATAAGATTTTTGAAAATTATAGAGACTAAAAACAACGGTTTTAAATTTGAGGGATCAAAAACAAATATATCTTAAATTTGAGAGATTAAAAACATATTTAAACATATAAATTATATTTTAGATTTATGATAGATAAATAATTTATATTGTAGTACAAAGTATTTTTATTTATTGATAATTTATTTTAAAATATTAATATTTCATTCTTAAATAATTATAATAAATAGAAAACAAATTAGATAGGAGGTTAAAAGAATCCCTACAAGCCCTTTCATTGAAAAAAATTTCTAAAAACACTTGTGCAAGATAATGATTCCTGTTTAAAATATAGAGGTTGATGTATGTAACCATACATCTTTTCATTGGATAAGTTTGTTAGTTCAAATTAAGTCATATTTTCTCCAACAAATCAGCTTGATGTTTTTAATGTTAATTATTGCAGATATTGTTTATCAGGATCTTCGGACTCTATGATAAGGTGATGCATACATATGGTGTTATAAAAATTTATATTTTTTGTTGTTGTGTGGTTTACTAATATAATAATCTGTCCATCTTTCCTCATAGGCTTTGGGATTTAGGTCAGCAGAGATGTGTGCATTCTTATGCAGTTCATACTGATTCTGTTTGGGCACTTGCAAGCACCCCAACATTTAGTCATGTTTATAGTGGAGGAAGAGACTTTTCAGTGAGTGCAACCTTCATTAAATTTAACACTAACTATTTTTTTTTATTATGTCTTGAATTTATGTGACATAACATCTCCTTTTTATGTTTAACTTGTGAACCTCATCTTCTAATGCCCTATTCTTTTATACCCTAAGTTATACTTGACAGATTTGCAAACTAGAGAGAGTAGTTTGCTTTGCACAGGCGAGCACCCGATTCTTCAATTGGCTGTGCACGATGATAGCATATGGGTTGCTTCAACGGACTCTTCAGTTCATAGATGGCCTGCTGAAGCATGCAACCCTCAAAAGATTTTCCAGAGAGGCAATTCTTTTTTAGCTGGAAACTTGTCCTTTTCAAGAGCAAGAGTGTCACTAGAAGGATCTACCCCTGTATGTTATATTTATTTCTGAAAAAATCGCTATCTACTTTTGTATTGTTTTATCTTCAATTAGTTGTGTTGCTCTTGGTACTCATAATAGCAGTTGAATGTACATGTATTGATGAAGCACGTTAGCTTACATACCCAATATTAGTACTTCCTGTTTGTGAATGGCAGTTTGTTTTCTAAACAAGTTTTTCTTGAAAATAAATTTTCTATTGGTTCTTTCTGTTCTGTATAACTAATAATTGTCCTTCTGTTGTCAAAATTACTAACGTAAATAGGTTCCTGTATATAAAGAACCTATCTTAACCATCCTGGGTACACCTGCAATAGTACAACATGAAGTGTTGAATAATAAGAGGCATGTACTGACAAAGGTAACCATGGTGTTTTCTTGTAATTTTATTATGCTGTGCATATTGATATTGTCATCCATTTTACTGTGAAATTAATATCTCTGTTTTTTTTCTTTAACTGATAATGACTCCTGGTATAGGATGCATCTGGTTCAGTGAAGCTGTGGGAGATTACCAAAGGTGTTGTGATTGAAGATTACGGAAAGGTGACAACTGGTTGCATTTTCATTTGGTAACTTGCATGGCAATCAATTTGACTAGGGAAGTAGATTGGTTGTTACTGTAACGAATGATAATTACAAATTTCAACTATAGCTGATAGGACTCATTTGTGGGTTCATACTAGCTCATGATTTACTTGTGGACTATCTAGGTTTCATTTGACGAGAAAAAGGAAGAGCTCTTTGAGATGGTGAGATCACTGGTTTATATCATGGATTTCTCGTATAATAATAATTTTTTTTTTAACTTGGCAAGAAAACATGTTGATTTTCAGTTGTTTATTTGTTCTAGCTGGCTTTTAATTTTCTTCCAATGCTGCTTTAGGTTAGCATTCCTG